TGCCTAAATTGCCGGCAAAGGGGCGTCTGCGGAGTCTGCCGCTCCAGTACTTGCAGAGTTTGTGGAACCAATCATCATAGCCTGTTGCATCTTGGCAACCCAAGCAGTCACATCGCTGTCTCTAGCTCACACAATTCTCAAGATGTCGAAACTTATACCTCAGCTCAAAACATCCTTGCGGCATTTTCATCGTCGACACTCCTCATCGACCAGCATCTCAAGCACGATGTTGTCCTACTTGCCACTGCCGTCATCAATGCAAAACATCGTTCTGGCTCATTGATGCAATGCCGTACGTTGCTCGACAATGGGTCACAATTTCACATCATCACCTCTCGTCTTACTCATCAGCTCCAGCTGCGCGAATTCAAATTCACAGCAGTCGTCTCTGGCATTGCAGCGTTTTCATCAGATGGGTTTTCGGTAAATATCAATGTGCAATCTTGAGTGTCTGAGTATTCTACATGCATCCCGGCGTTGATTGCACCATCCATCACCGATAATCAGACGGCTTCAGCCTTTACCCTTCATCATTCCGTCACACATACAACTAGCTGAATTCTTCAAATCTCAGCAAGTCGACATGTTGATCCGAGTCGGTCTATTTTTCGATGTGCTCTGCGTCGGTCAGATTAGCTGCTGGACTGCCGATTCTGCAAAAGAGTCATTTTGGTTGGGCCGCGACTGGGGGTGCTTCTCATAAAGGAAATTCAAAACTCGTGGGTAGGCGATCAATGATGACTCCAGATCTGCTGGTAGACTCGCATCTGCAGTTGAATGCACCGATTGACGAATTAATCCGTCGTTATTGTGAACTGGAATGCTGCACTGAGCTGAGTCCCCACCAAACAGGGAAGAGCGTGACTGCAAGCCACACTTTAAGGCCAATTTTAAACGTCTACCGACTGGCGACTGGACACTCGCTGAACTATGCAGGATATCTGGAGAGAAAAACTGAACTAGCATCAGAGCTTGGCTGTATACTGAAGCATAGCCTGGGTGACTTCTGCGCTGATATTGAGCGCACTCACTAATTCAAGTATCCCCGTCGTGCATTCTTATCAGAAGGTGCAGTTGATATTTACGGATTTTGTGATGTCAGCCTGAGCGCTTATGGAGCATGCGTCTACATAGTCTCAAAGTTTCAAGGTAACACAATCGGACGTCTCTTGCGTTCCAAGTCGCGTGTCGCGTCCGTGAAACCCATCACTGTACCAAAGCAGGAACTTTGTGGAGCTACATTATTGGCTAAACTTCTCAGAGGAATACGCCAATTGAAAGTGTTTGACTGTCGTTATTACTGTTGGTTAGACTCTGCTGTGGTATTGGCTTGGATTCGCTATATACGCTTCCATATTTATAAAGCACATAAAGGATTTGTCTACAATATCGTTTCTTGATGTTGCACTCGACCTTCGAGGATCTGGTCTGAAAATGTGACAATCTTCGTAGACGCTAAGAACGAGCTGGCTGTTTCTAAGTAACGAGCATGTAAACGCTGTTCACAAGTTTTGTCTATCCGACTCAATCGAATGGTCGTTCATCCCTCCTCGCGCTCCGCACTCTGGCAGACTATGGGAAGCGGATGTGAAGATTGCGAAGCACCATTTTTATCGCTCTGTCGGCCCTTCCATCTAGGATTTTGATTCGCTGTGCACGCTCGTCTGCCACATCACGGCAATTAATAATTCGTGACCATTACTCCACTTTCAGAGCACATCGATGATCTAGACGTCATGGCACCCGCACGCCTTCTGGGTACAGCGCCATCTTCGTCAGCGCTCCAAATGGCGAACTCCCCAGCCACGACTCTCCATCAACGATGTCGTTCTTGTAAAGAATGAGACCCTACCGTCGCTGAAGTTGCCATTTACTAGAGTGCTAGGGCTAGTCTCGGGATCTGATAAGGTATCTAGAGTTTCAGTGCTTCAGACTGGGACTGGAGCCATACGCAGAGCCGTACGAAAGCTGTATTTGATGCCAAAACAGGATGACGTTGAAAGCCGCTTGTCCTCCAACTGGAGAAGATGTTAGGTCAAGTTACCGGTAGAGATAATACCCACAGCAGCGTTCAGTAACAACAAAAGACAATAATCATAATTACAGCTTAAGAGTAAATAATGGTTGGTCGCTCTAGTAATCTGCTGCCCACTCTCTTTCGTTGGCTCCTTGGCTCCTGCAGTTTTTCATTTGATCGCAAGCGAGGCACAACTATTTCGAATTGGCATCAAGGCAACAATATAGTTCGAAAATTTTAATAAATGCCCTGTGCGGAAAATGAATACATTCGGAACAAAATTATCGTTCATTTAAAATCGCTACACACAAGCAGTGGTAATTAATTAGCTGTAAAAAGTCTTGTAACTAAACAATAAGTATATAGGCTTTTTGGTTGTATTATGTTTTGTATTATTTGGTCTTTATCAGAGAAAACACTTCTTGTAGCGAATGGAGCTTCGGCTCCGTTTTGGATCTTTATTAGCACTGATTTCTTATTTGATACATGGAATAAACTTAAGATAAATAAGATCAATATATATGTTTTTGCATAAACATAGTATATATATGTATAGCGTCACCACTGACGCTGGCGGCAAAGTGCATGCACAGCGTTTCACATGCGCCCCTATCGGTCTGAACATAAGTGGTCGAGTTTCAAGAGCGCTGGAATGTTTATATGTTTATGTGTAGTTGGCTTTATATATTTAGTTATGTTTATGGCGAAAATGTATCGCAAAGTATATTTTATATAGATACACGACACTAAGACAGGATCCGATATCAAGACTTCAGACAATGAATAACAATTTCGTGGAGTTGTGCCATTCAGGATGGATCTTATATCAAAGGACGAAATAAATAAGATGACTACAACAACAGCGGTACCTCCGACAATGTACGGAACTACTAAAAATACATAAGGAAGGAACACCACTGAGACCGATATGTTCCTCCATCGGATCTCCATCTTACGGGCTGTGCAAATACATAATAAAAATATTTAAAATTCGGTCAATGAACTCTAGGTACAATATTAAGAACGCGATAGATTTTAAAGAAACAGTTAACAATTCCCAAATAAGAGATGAAAAAACATAAGTATCATATGACGAAGTATCCTTGTTGTCCAGCATACCAATGGAACTAGCGCTTGACACAATAAGAAAATGGACCAAATGGACATAGTAAAATTCTGCATTCAGAAAAATCGATATTTTAAATACAAGGACAAAATATTTACACAAGTAAAAGGAATACCAATGGGATCACCAACCTCCCCAGTAATCCCAGATATAAGTGTGATGGAGAAACTGTTAGACAATATTACAGATAAATTGAAAATTAAACCATTACTTTCGATCAAATATGTAGATGCCATAATAGGAAAAATATAAATGCGCGAAATTCTAAAATAATTGAATTTCACAAACTTATCAAATTTACCATGGAATTAGCAAAGGACGGAAAACTACCATTTTTAGATTCTATAGTTAGTAGATTATACAACACACTTAAAATCAAGTGTTAATTGTTTTTTTAATCTTGGTGTAAGTGCCCTGACGACGGTTTGCCGATGTGCAGCCAAAATGTATTAGAAGCAAAAATTTAATAAAATTGTTTCACTGTTTAATTTTTCATTCTCGGGCCTCGAGCCAGCCAACAAATATTAACATTCTTTTCTCTTTTCTTTTTTTATACCCTGAATCCATTAAAATGGGTATAAGAGTATATTGTATTTGTGCAAAAACCAAATGTATGTAACAGGCAGAAGGAGGCATCTCCGACCCCATAAAGTATATATATTCTTGATCAGCATCAATAGCCGAGTCGATCAGACCATGTCCGTCTGTCTGTCTGTCCGTCTGTCCGTCCGTCCGTCTGTCCGTATGTATGCATGCAAGGATGTCAGAACCTATAAGAGCTAAAGACTTGACATTTAAATGTAGATGCTCCTAGTGCCCGCGCAAATCGCGTTTATTTCCGATAATCGATAACTTACCTCGTTTCCAAGCAATCGATAAAAATTCATATCGATATCCTGTTTTTTGGGCAATTTTGTTAAATAATAAGAGCTAGAGTCACCAAACATATAGCTCCAAAAATAGAATATATATATGCATTTAATGTTGGAAGAAGAGGGTTCAGGCAAAGACAATATAAACACTAAGATGAGTAACGCCATACAACAAAATGCTACTATGCAGCTTGATTTTTGAAAATTGAAAACGAAATCTGTAGCATTGCGCTCTCACAGCAGAAAAAACAAGAAAGCTAAAAATATAATGTGCTTTCAGCTTCGCCTCTATACATACATAACAGCATATTTGAATGTGTTGGTATCCACTGCTCTGGCAAAGTCTCTGGCTGGCAGAGAAACAATTTTCTTAGTTTTTGAGCGCGGATCACGACCTACCCAAATTTTCTGTTGATATATGAATGCATTTTGTGTACTGAGGTTGGCTCCGTACAAAAAAAATTGTATTTTTAAGTCGATGCGAATATTTATGTAATTTTTTATATTTGAAATTATTAATTAAATTATTATTATTTTTAAGTAATACAAAATAAATTAAGGAAATAAAAGTGCAAATTTGTTGTTTTCAAAGATACATTTAATTAATTTTTATTTTTTTTTTATTTTATTATTTTTTTGTTCGAGTTATAAAGAACAAAGTAAGCAGGGAACACCGCGAGGAGGCCTTTATAATTATAATGGGGTCATAACTAAATATGACCTTCGAGTCGACTTAAAATGTAATTGTATTTTTTAGCGCTCTTTTATTTCTTGATTGGAGAATAATAATAATATTAATTTAATTTAATGAAATTATGTAAATATTTGCATCGACTTAGAAATACATATTTTCTGCGGAGCTAACCTCAGTACACAAAATGTTCGTAAGCTCTAAACTTTTTCGCTCAATGTACTTCGAAAACGAAGCGACGCAAAGCAGCATCGACCAGCTTTGCTGAAAGCAGGCTGGCGACTAACTTCGTAGCTCGTGTCAGCATCAGCAAGCCGCGACTTCGGCATTCGTTCGTCTGGTCTTTGGAGAACGAACAACCAGTCGGCAGGCATGCCGTACGAAGCCTCAAAGGCCAGATGAAAGGCCAGGCCAGAAATTTTGCGTCGCATTCAAATGTATGGACGTTACTCATCTTAGTGTTTATATTGTCTTTGGTTCAGGGTATCCCCTAGTCGGGAGCTCCAGACTAGAACATCTTACTTGTTTACTTACTCGGGAGCGCCAGACTAGAACATTTTATTTGTTTTTTTGATTTTTTCGTTGGTTGATCAGACCATTTTTATAAAAATTTTCAGTTAATATACTTTTTTAACCCATCCTTATGTACGTTCTGTTTTTTTTCTTCTATTGTTTTTGCTGTATAAATATACCGGATCTAACTTATGACCTTTTTCATTTTTTAGCAATACCTATCTATTTCTAACATATGGCTGGCTCTTTAATATGTTGTTTCTAATCTTATTTGCTTAGCATACTCCTCTAAGTTATAAAGTAGTTCTATACCATCTATACTTTTAAAATGTTTGGTTGAAAGTTTTGCCAAACTACGTTCTATGAACAGTAATTATGTATCATCACTAACCAAGCACCATATAGACTGGACAGTCAGTGGACGGCGATGAGGCCTCTCCGTTTTTATGCGGCTAGTCCAAAGTCGCCTTCGCTTTTGTTCGGGTTCGAGGCACGCTTCCGCGCTCAGACAGCAAGAGAGTAAAAATACACATGACATACATGACTTGTGCGAAAAGACGAAATCGCTTTTTTTTTATACCCTTGCAGAGGGTATTATAATTTTGTTGTTAAATGTGTAACGCTAATAAGGAGACATCTCCGACCCTATAATTCTTTATCAGCATTACCAGCCGAGTCGATATAGCCATGTCCGTCTGTCCGTCTGACCGTATGCCCGTCTCTCTGTTTCTATGCGAACTAGTCTCTCAGCTTAAAAGCTTTCGTAATGAATCCTTTCAGCAGTCCCTCTTTCTGTTGCACGCAGCACATATGTTAAAAGCACCATATCGGACCACTATATCATATAGCTGCTATAGAAACGATCGGTCGAAAATTAAGTTGTTGTATGAAAACAAAATATTTTGTTTTTCAAAATATCTTGACCAAACTCAGCATTTATTAGTTTTACTATACTCCTCATATATATGCAAAATCTTTTTAAGATCGGACCACTATATCATATAGCTGTTTGACGTAGTTCCAGTTTTCCATATTCAAATATTATTGACAACGAATAAACACGTCTGCGCTTGATGATTATCTCAGAAGCAATTTTTTCAAAGTTGAGTGCATATGATTACCTTATGAATACATTAATGTAATCTGCTGTTATTAGTTAACAGCTTTAAAGAGAGAGAGAGAGAGAGAGAGAGAGCGGGTGTACTCATACATATTGCCACTCACTCTCGGAGCGGCTAAAATAAAAGATCAGCGGTTATCCGTGAACACGCTGTCTTGGCATGCCAATGTGACATCGTCTTACCACTAACCAAACAACATATAGACTGGACATGAGTACCGGAAAGTAGGCACAAAATGTAAGGGAGTAAGATATACATATGATGTATTTTTGAACCGCTTACTCTACAGGAAAGTGCTTGGCGCACTCTCTTCCATACGATTTGTGCGATAGAACGGCAACGCTGTTAACTTTTATCTCGCACGCACTTACTTTTAGTTCTCAATGATCTCTCTATGTATATAAGTATTTATGCGCGTGTGTGCCTGTTGCTTGCCTGCCTGCCTGTCCCCGATGCAAATTTAACAAGATTCATCAATATCATTAAAAAGAATGGCGCGCGTCAGACGCGTGCCAATAATGATATTTTCTTTTGGGCCCATGATCAGCCCATTTACAGACATTTGTATGTGTGTGTCTATGTGTAGAGGTCCAAAATGAGAAATCCTAAAATCTTGTTAAATTTGCATCGGGGACAGGCAGGCAGGCAAGCAACAGGCACACAAGCGCATAAATGCTTCTATTCATACACAACATATGCAAGTATGCGGGTATAGCGACTCCAAAATATTCTAAATGCACACATGGCAACGCGTAGGTACCCTAACCAACGATAGCGAACTAAAATGCAAGAATTTCGCATCGACGTGGCAAACCCTTTCTCTATTTCATATTACTCGTGCCTTCAAAAGGGTAGAAATGCCTCAGCATTTGGAAAAAATTGAATTTGTGCGCAGTTTTGCTTGTCGGACACATACACAAATTAAGTCTTCCGTCGTAACTTTGTTGTCTGGCGACGATGTGTGGTTAATCCAACAGGTGAATCCTTCTCCTTATGAGGTGGCGATGAATCCAACAGGAGGCTGTTGGAACGATGTGATTAGGTTGTGGGAACTTTCCCAGTTGCCCGTCTTGGACGTGGTCAACTATGATTGATAACACAAATAACGTTTATTGACGGCAATGCCGGAGTTTAATCATTTACTCATCTTATAATGTTGCGATCTAGATTGAAACTAAAGGCTACAGAAATGTTCAAGCTAAATCTTGCCCTGTGAAGCCAATGCATCACGCCATATGCTAGAGTCGGCATGCCGACTCAGCATTCTTGCGCAAGCAGCACGGGTGTCCGTTTTCAGTTGCTGTGCGCAGAACTCTTGGCAGCGGGTCAGCATTGTTTACAAGAATACTACTTTGTTGCTGAGGGCAACCAAAATGCTTAAGGCTGTGTGTTGTTGTATTTGTTGCTGAGGGCAACCAAATACTTATGATTGTGTGTTGCGTACTTAGAAATAACAATGTATGACTGTGAGAGTGTATCTTATATGTTTAGTTGTTAACTACCCCCCTCTCAGGATGATGGCCGTCCTCGGTCATATTAAAGTTGTCCAAAGCCTTCTGCATCCTTAATGTAGCTCGCTTTCTCCTTAGTGCCATAAAAAGGACGAATGAGCCAATTAATCCGACGTTCAGGACCGCACCAACCGCGAACCAGAGTTTAGGCGAGCCAGCCGCAATTACCTCCTCCTTGAAATCTCGAATTGATTGCAAGTTGTTGATGTTCATACGATGCGGGAGTGGTATGCCTAGTGCCGGGTCATGTCCGATGATGTTTAGGAGCGGTGACCTCACGGTGCCAGGCTCTTTGCTTGGTGATTTCCGCAAGTTTACAAATTCTGTGCCATTGATAGCTGCAGACCGTTCGAAAGTTATCAAAAAGGTTCCTGAGATGGTTACCTCTGCGCCATCATCTGTTCGGGCGCGCGCTGTCGCTTCGTTGATAACCGCGACGCCGTCGTCTACAGGCATTATCGTTTTCAAGTGGCTAGGTTGAGTGTGGCAGTTGGCGATGTTTCCCGCGTGAAGGGAGCTAGCACAGGTTTCGCGCCGTGCTCGTTCGCAGAAGGTGTTATGCGTAGTTACGGTGCATCCTGTAACTGCAAAGGTATCCTTTTCGCATTCCGCCAACGTGTCTTCGTCGAGTCGCAGAATGGTTTGTTGGTGTGAAACGGGGTAGACGGAGACCTTTTGGCAGCTAAACTCAACTTTAGGGTAGGCTATTAATATGTGGATAATATTCTCGGACTGAAGGACCTTGATCTTAGAAGCTTCTATTAAGCTCACTATTGGGGTATCTTGTTCGATAAGTGATTTCAGATCGGTATGATCAAGGATTGTAGGATTTACTATGTTTGCTTTTGCCAACGTTATGGTGAGTATTAAATTTTGAATTTCAGTATTCTATTTCTTGCAAACAGTGTCTCGAATAAATGAGGAGTGTCAACCAAATCGCCTTTGCGGGAACTGATAATTTTGTTGATAGTGTCCGTCAGTCTGTTTATTTGTTTTTGCGTTTCGGAGCTTATTAGTATCTGTTTGGAGTTAGCCTCCACCAACTGCGTCTCTGTAAGGCGGACCCTTAGGAAATCTGAAGCATCAGGGGTGCCAGCAACAACCTTCAAGGCAGTGCCTAAGAAATCGAGGCTTCGTGCAAATCTGTGATGCACTTGAAGAACGGACAACAATGTTTTAAGGTGATCTGTATCTACGCCTAGTAGTTTGCGCATATGCGACTGTGGAAAGGAATCGGACAGTTTTTCCGTCTCGTCTACCATACTAAAAAATTCAGAAATGTTACTTGAGTGCCTCAAGTAGCTACGTTGATCGAACACCAGTACTTCCCCGTCTAAGACCGGAATGTTATTGGCATGCGAGAAGTCGGTGATCCGAGCATTTACCGCTGCTAGTGCCACAAGCAAAGTGAGTGCAAACCTGAAATGGGCGAACAATATAAGACGATGTTCTAACTCTAAGTTGGCTTACTAGCTAATTGTGGAAAAAACTTATTTCAGGTTGTCCTTATGGACCTCCCTCCCCTTAATGAGGACAGACGTTCCCAGGTCTGCTTCGACCTTTTGTTCTGAGCATAAGGGAGTTAACTTGTTCCCTAGCCTCTTGTTGCTCTTCTGGAACACCTTTTCTCCTACCTACCATTGTACCTTTTGATATTGTCTTGCTGTGCCTTAATTAGCCTGTCTTTGACGTTCTCGCTACGATCATAAGCTGCGGCATGGACGACCTCTATTGGTTTCTCGCGGGTTACTGAGTGCAAACTTTTGTTGTACTCTATCGTAGCCTTTAAGATTAATTCTGTAGTGTCGCTGATTTTCTTGTCTAACTTAAGGCATCTCGCAATTTCGGTCAGGGTGCTATGAAAGCGCTCCACCTGGCCGTTTGAGGTGCTGTGAAGCGAAGCCGCATTCACAATGCAAATGGCGTTTCGGAGCATCGAAGTGATGGTCTCGGAATTGAAGGCCGCCTCGTTATCGCAATAAATTGTCTTGGTTGCGGGGAAAAGGTTAACAATTTGCAGTAGAGGGCTTGTGACATCGATTATCGTTCTGGATAGTATCGGTTGGACGACTGCAAATTTGGAGAATTTGTCTATGCAGGTCAAGAACTGTTTCTTGTCTGTCGAGAAAATGTCAATATGCAACATTTCGCCAGTATTACTTGGTATAGGCGTTTCCCCGAGTTCTTGTTTCTTCGGGTGCCTATCGTACTTGGCTTTAGTACAGACCCTGCAGTTTGCAACCACTTCTTTGGCCAAACTGGCCATATTGGGAAAATAATAGTCACGAAGTACTTGTTTAATGTTTTCCTGAGCTGCTCTGTGCGCTCGATTGTGCTCGACAGTGATGATTTCTAACTGCTCGTTTTTGTCCGTTATATCTTGCACAAGATTTTTGCAATGCCAGAATTGGGTGGCAGGGAAATGCAAGATCAGGTCGTGTTGGAAACTTGCCAACGTGGGAAGATCGCAATGTATTGCATTAACGACTCCAGAGTTCACAACTTCTTTGAGAGTTTTGAGAATTGTGCTCTTGTCAGTGTAACTGATCAAGTGGCGTGTTTTGCTGCGAAACAGCAACAAGTTTCGCTTTAACGGAAAGCGCGATTCCTCTCGGACAATCTGGTTCCTAAAGCAATTCAAAGGTTTGTCTGTTGTTTCGACCGTGTAGGTCAGGGAAAGTTCGCTGTGAACGGTTGCAGCGTCCGAACGGGGCCCATTTTGCAGAGCATTAATGTTTTGCCTTGAAAGGGCATCCGCCACCAGATTCTCTTTGCCCGGTTTATAAAACATTTTGGCATTGTGCTGGTCAATGTAAGATTTCCATCTTTTAATCTTGGAATTCGTGTTCTTATCTGACACAGCGAACGTGAGCGGCTGGTAGTCCGTGAAAATGTTAATTTCTCTATAACCGTACAGAAAGTTCTGCAGTTTGCCTAAAGCCCACACAATGGCCAGCAATTCAGCAATTCGGCTGTTTTAAGGCGCGAGAAATCATTGTTATTGGCCTATTGCCTTGGGAAAGAACCGCGCCAATTCCACTGGCCGAAGCATCACGGTTTCTGGAAGTCTGGATACATTAACATGACATCTTCTGATGCCAAAATACTCCACAGACGGTGAAATGCATCGCGTTGAACTTCATTAAATTCAACAGGGAATTTCTTTGACACGTGCCTGCTAACTGAACCACTTTCCCCTTTAAGTATGTCCGATATCGGACGCGCTATAGCGGCAAAGTCCTTAATAAAGATCCTATAGTAGTTGGCTAACCGCAAGAAGGACCTAGCGCTGTAGACACTCTTTGGTTCAGGGAATTCCTGAATGGCTTTAACTTTTTTGGGATCGGATGTTGCTCCGTCTTTGGTTACAATGAAACCCAGGAATTCGATACTTTCCTTGAAGAATCGAGTCTTTTCAGGGCCTACACGCATGTTGGCGTCGATTAGACATTTTAACACAATGTTAATGTGTTTAAGGTGCTCCGTTTCATTTTTAGAAAAAATTATGACGTCGTCTACATAGACAAAGCAAATCTTTCCTATATGTTCCCTCAGGATATCGTCTATTGCCCTTTGGAATATGCTGCTTGCATTGCGCAGGCCGAATGGTAGGCGACAGAACTCGTACTTGCCGCTGCTTACTGAAAACGAAGTCTTTTCGCGGTCATGCTCCGCAAGGTAGATTTGATGGTACCCAGACTTTAAGTCGAGGGTATTGAAGTATTTCGCCTTTCCTAGATTTGCTAAGATCATGGGGATGCTCGCCATGGGGTAACGGTCCGGTATGGTTTTTTCGTTCAGTTTCCTGAAGTCGATTACCAACCTTTTTCTTGGGTTACCGTATGAGTCAGTGCCTTTTTTATCAACCACTCATGTTGGGCTATTGTAAGGCGATCCGGAGGGCCTGATTATGCCATCGTCCAGTAATTGTTTGACTTCTTTGTTTATGAAGTCAGAAACACCCATGAGACTTGGGTATCTTGAATACACAGGTTCGTTGTCTACTGTTCGGATTGTAGCGATAACAGCAGTATTAAAAGGGAGAGGTTCATCTGTATTTGAGAAAGCTCTTTTGTTTCTGAGTATCATGTCCCTAAACTCTTTCTTTACGGAAGGGGGGACTACGATGTCGTTGACATCGGTGAAGTTCACATCAGCACATTGATAGTACTGGAGTTTTTCAGATGTACTCTGGTATTCGAGACTGTTTTTTGCAAAGTTCAATTTGACTCCGGCTTGTGTTAGCAAGTCGAAGCCTATGATGGCGTCGAAAGAACTTAGGGTATCGAGGAGAAAAAGCGGGGAAGTATGTTGGAAAATATTCATCAAGCATTTGCGCTTGATTTCGGTAGACCCGTGGATTGAGTTTACTGAGAATGACTTGGCGACCGGCGTTATGGTCTTTAGCTCTGTTAAGGGCTACACATAATTTTTTGCCGCGCCAGTGTCAATCAACATCTTCAGAGTTCTCCCAGCCAACTGTCGGTCAATGTACGGAAGCCGGGAGTGTTCCCTAAAAAATTAATCGTGTCGTCACCAGGTGTGAACTCGTTCTCACTCTCTAGTTCTTCAACTGCCTCTTTGGCCGCCTTCTCGAATTCAGTTACGGCTTCTTTGGAATCTGATTGTACGACATTGTTAACGCGTTGTCGTCTTTGACCTGTTGAACGGTCTGACGAATTCTTGCGTTTTGGTGCGTTGGACTCATTAGCCTGACGCTTGCTGTAGTCGGTTTTTTGTCTAAATCTGGAGGAAGTGTCAACTTCCATGGGCTGTGGAGCCTCGGTTTGATTGTCTTTAGTGGCCTGGGGCTGGGGGACCGCCCTTTTGGGGTTCACAAAATGGGGATTTCTCTCCTGATTTTGCTCATCTTTGTTAAATCAGGTTTGTTTGCCTTGGGCACGGCTTTTGTTACTTTCAGCAATTTGCGCTCGGTCTTGCAAGGCTTTACCGTAAGGGTTCGCGAACATGCTTCTCTCAATGCTAGCTTCTGACTCTCTGGCAAGGGTTAGTGCGGATGGTAGATCTTTTGGTTGTGCAGGGAACACAACCGCTCTCAACGGCTTTCTGAGACCGGAGATAAAGGCGTGCAAGGCGTCGTCTCTGACCTCCCGGTTGAGCAAATCGGCGCCTTCTTGGTCGTGAGACATTATAATTTTGTTAGTTACGAGCGTGAGTTTCTTTTCGACGTCATCGTAGTATTGCATCAGGGACATTTCGCCCCGAGTATCTAACTCCAAACATTGTCTCAACAAGCGCAAGGATGTTTTATCCGAGTATGTGCAATCTAGCCTAGCTAGTATTACATCGAAATTTAGGACAGTGTTGTGAGACACTAGTAAGGCTCCAGCTGGGCCTTCGATTTTGTTCCTAATGATCGCTACCGCTTGGTAGTGTGCAGTGCTCTTTGGATAGTTCGTGAATAGTTCGTATACGTAGATGGCTGCTTGCCTCCACGCTACATACTCATCCTGTACGCCGGAGAAATCCGGCACAGATTTAATAATGTCCAAGGGAATATCGCATTTGGCGTTAGGATCGACGGATATTTTCTCGTATGTGATGATTTGCGGCGCTTCCACCTGCAAACTCTGTACTTGTGAAGCTAAAGCGGTTATTTGTGCTTGAAACTGATTTTGTTGTTGCGTTAAAGCTTGCCTGATGGCACCCTCTATGAGAGTCTGAACTTGAGCCGGCTCCATTTCTTCAGTTACAACGGTATCTGCAGGAGTAGGATCTACTGAGAAATTGATTTCCCCCTCCCAGCTATCGTCACTATTATATTCAACTTTTACCTCCCTAAAATTCCAGCTCATTGGCTTATGGTTGGCACTTTTCAAAATTTAGGCCGATCGAGAAAGATCGGCAGGTAATACTGTTGGCAATAAAGGAAACTGGTGTATCTTGGGGTATGCAATATTTATTATAAAAAATTGTTAAGGGTATGCAGCAAAAAATATAATGCTGCCGAAAGTATGCAATAATTATTCGTTTAAGGTATGCAATGCTTTATTGACACAGAACGCTGGTAAAAGTATGCAACCATTTTTTGTAAAAGTATGCAACAATTTTTATAAAAGTATGCAATGATTTAAAGGAATGAAATGCCGGCAGAAGAAAGCAGCAATATTTACTTTACATTACACTTTTTTTTTTTTTATAAAAATCACACGTATCGGTACGTGGCGTTCGTGAATAATTTCTTCAAAACTGAAATCACTTATGAACTTACATGGTATGGGTTCCTATTTATTGGTTGGGCGCCAATTAAGTCTTCCGTCGTAACTTCGTTGTCTGGCGACGATGTGTGGTTAATCCAACAGGTGAATCCTTCTCCTTATGAGGTGGCGATGAATCCAACAGGAGGCTGTTGGAACGATGTGATTAGGTTGTGGGAACTTTCCCAGTTGCCCGTCTTGGACGTGGTCAACTA